CTACAACCAATTATCTGAATGAATTATAGTATTGATTTTCTATAAAAAAGTTTTTAATGATTAAGGTTTATGTTGTTGAATTATTTTAAATTTGACAGATCTTCTAAAAATATATACTGAATTTTTTGATTATCCAGCTATTGGAAATTAAAAATTTAAATTTAAAATTCTTCAAAATAATGACAATATAAATATATATATATATATTATATTTCATATAATATAACTATCTACAAAATTCCGGACCAAAACGTAATTAATGTATTGAATAAATAAAATATGTATTCTTAACAGAGTTAAACAAAAATTAAGGATTTTTTTCTGGATAGAAATAAAGTTATTTCGATGTAAAAACTGAATATACTCCCTCCGTTTCATTTTAGTTGTCATTCTAAGTTTTTGCACACATATTAAGGAAACATTTAATTTTACATATTTCAAGATTAAAACACAATTTACCTATACACCTAACCACTTTTTAACCAATAGAAAAATATAATATTATATAAAACTAATAAATTTTGTTTCGAAACTCTAAAACGACACTTAATTTGTGACAAACAATTAAGTCTAGAATGACAAGTATTCTGAAACGGAGGGAGTATTTTATATGTTCTTATTTTAGTCAATCACAATCAATGTGAATAAAAATCTTGAAACTCCTGCTTAATATATTACTCCCTCCGTTTCGAATTAATTGTCATTCTGGAGAAAATTTTTTGTTTCAAAATAAGTGTCGTTTTAGAGTTTCGAGACAAAATTTTATTAGTTTTATATGATATTCTATTTTTCTATTGGTTGAAAAGTGGTTAGGTGTATAGGTAATTGTGTTTCTTTATTGAAAATATGTAAAAATAAATGTTTTCTTAATCTGTGTGCAAAAACGTAAAATGACAATTAAAATGAAACGGAGGGAGTAAGGTTTTTGTAATAATAAAGATGGTTTTTTTTTCTTAATGCAGATGTTAAATATTTGACACTAGGTGATTTTCCCGCGCTCATGCACGGGTATAAATATTCATAAAAGTAAAATTTTATAATAATTGATTAATATTTAGTTTTAGTTTTGTATCAATTTATATGTATAATTTATATTAATAAATATTATATTATTCTAATTATACATATGATTTTGGATATATTATTGTCGGTTTAATTCATTTTTGGATCAATATTCGGTTTGGTTATCAATTTAGTATATTGGATAATATTATTTTTCGAATTCAGCTATAATATTTTTTTATTGTAAATATAATAAAAATTTGTTTAATTTTCTTATTTTTATTTCGGTTGGTTATTGTCTTAGATATGTAAATATATTATAGTTAAATTATATATATATATATATTATGCTTAAACTAAAATAAATAATAAGCTGAAGTGTTTGATTCAAAATTACATAAATGAATATAATGATAATATTTTGAAGTCTCGTGCATATATATAAATTCTACAAAAGAATAAATTGTAATTTGTTAATATTTTCTTTTTATTTTTAATATCCTTTGAGTCAACATCTAATCTGTATGTATAAAATTAAATAGATTATTATTACTATAAAATTATATGTTCTTATTGTAGTTAGATGTTTAATTTTGGATATAAATTAGATTAGTCGAGTCATTCATGTTGTGAGTATATTGAGTTAAAATTGAAGTATAATTACTTTTTATTTTAGTTAAGTCCAATCAAATTAGTTATATTTATTGCCTAAATATTTATGTATTTTCATAATATTTATTTATACCTTATTTTAATTAAGTCAAATCAAATTAGTTTTATTTATCGCTTAAATATACAAATATTTTCATAATATTTATCAAATTATATGTTGATTTCTAAAAATATTAGAAAATAAAGTGTAACTGATAAATTTTGGATGTTCATGAACATATATATTTTAATCATTTTGAAAATGTATTATATGTTATTTAAAAATATATATTAAGGGGGTATATTACTATTTTGTGAACTTTCCTTTTAAATAAAGTCATATTATATACATATATTTTCGTTTATAAATCTGTTTTAAAATTTTAGAAATATTTCCTTTTTATTATATATGTTATTTGGAAAAAGTAAAAAAAAAAACTAAATAAAAAATTAAGAATAAACTTAAAATCTAACAATTCATTAAGGGTATCTATGTAATCAACCATCGCGAGAGTTAACGTGAGCGCGACACGTAGGAAACTGACTTCTCAAATAATATTATAGAGATTTACAAGGTGAGTAAAAAACTGACTAATTGTTTTCTTCTTAGGATATTTCATCCAAAAAATAAATAATAATAGAAATATAAAAGTAACAAATGGGAAGATTTTTCATATTTTCCTTTTAACTATTTATCCCCTTATCCATCTTTTAGTGGTGTGTAACTCTTTTTTAGATATTAAATTATGAAATTATATTAAATTAATATAATATAGTTTAGAACCTGTTTGGCTATTTACATTCTTAGCAAAAAAAAAAAAAAAAAAAAACCTGTTTGGAGAACCAAACCATAACGATGCTCTAGTTACTTTTTTATGCTCTTATTACTTTAGTAATGAGGTTGACACAAAGCTGAATCAAGCTGTAAACATTGTACTATATATCTGTTTTTAATATTCTAATTTAAAGTTGATTTTTTTGAGAAAGGGCTTAATTTAAAGTTGTAACATAAAACGATTTTGTTTTTAGGATTTCGAACCTTACAAATAACTAGGATAAGATCCGCGCCTTGCGCGGGATGAAACTATTATTTTTATTATGTTTTTAAAAATGAAACAATAGTTTGGTTTCATTCGGATTAGAGGTGTTCAATCCGGATATCGGGTTTCGGTTCGGCTCGATTTTTTGGTATTTCGATCATTAAAATATAACTACTATTCTAAATCTATATGTACTTCAGTTTGATTTGGTTTATATACCATCGGTTTTCAGTTTATTCAATT